AAATAACCTGGACTTTCCTTAACCAGGTGATTTAATTATGGTTAAAATCACCTGATCCGTGACAGGGTTTGTCAAAACTGGACTGGGTTCCGTCAACACAAGCTCTGGGCTGGGGACGGGTAAGGTTGGAGGAGGTGGGGTATCTGCTGCTGGTGTTGCCATGGATACAGTTTCATGTGGAATCTATAGAAAGACGTTTCAACAACAGAGTGGAAGCTGAAGGTTTTTGTATTGATGACATACAAAGACAATAAATCAAAGCTAAAAGAAGTGGTTTTTGATCATTAGTTCAAACCTTTGACTCATTCACCTGAGTACTGTTGTATCTGACGACCACAGCCTTCACACAAACCATCCTCCCACGCTGTCTGCATCCCAGCAGAGTCCTGACGGTCGGGCCGTGACACTCGAGCACTCTCGTGTGCAGACGGGAACTCTGATGGAGGTGCTGTGAGGAGGACAGAAAGACAGAGTGTATCTCTTCAAAAGACATCAAAATATGTCAACCTGACAAACACACACTCTGAGGTCACCGTCAGGTCACTTTATTATCAGTGCGCAATAATGAATGAAGAATTGACCACTGTGACCATATACATAAAAAAAACTTCCTTTTCAGCCACAATGATGAAGTTGGCTGAGGAAGAGTAACCACATCCCTGTTCATAGTAAACTGTGTGAAAATATACTGCCATCTAGTGGTGAAGTTCCTGATACAGCTGAAACCTCTGCACCCTAACATGTTTGGATGATAATACAACACTACTTACACCTATGAGCAAAGGTGCGCTTTACAAATTTAAATCCATCTCTGTCTGGTTGTTCCCTCGAGGCCTCACCGCAGCGACTCATCTGCCTCCACCTCACCCTGTCTCCTGCATCACACCAATTTCACAACATCCACAAATCTACTCTTAGGTCTGCCTCTCCTTTCCTCTTCTCTTAACTAGCAGCTTCATCTCTAAAATCATGCCCTACCCTCCACAGTTCTTGTCCAAACCATCTCCACCTCACCTCTCTAACGTCTTCTCCGAACTGCTCCATCTTAACTATACCTCTGATCTGATAATATACCCATCCTGTCCATCCTGCTCATTCACAGTGAAAATCTCTGCATCTTCATCTCCTCCCGCTCAGCCTTTAATTTGTTCCACAGAGCCAATGTCTCTAAAAAACTCAACATAGCAGGTCTTATAAACTTGACCTTTTAACTTTGCAGCTATTCTTCAAAGCTGATTCCAATTCCTACTGACAAACGTGCGTGTAACATCAATGCACACAGGTCCGGTCACTTCATGGAGTATCACGGAACAACATCACCAACCTCTTTTCTGGTGTAACATCGTTTTTGTACTCAAATATTCCACCTTTACGACAGACTCTCCTCAAAGTCACACTGAAGACGTGCACGCGGAACTACGCAGCCGGTACGCTAAGCTAAACGGCTAGACAGTTAGCAGGGTAGAGTCCGCCGCCGGCGTGTCTTGTTGCAGGGTCAGAAACAAAGCGACAGGTTTCAACAGTAAATGTGACCTACGTGGCTCCAAGTAGCTGACGGAACTGCACCGCCCCGGCTCGGTTTTCTGCTTAGTCTCAAGAAACATTTAGTGAAGGATCCAGGTGTCACCCAACTCTTGAGGGCAGCCATGTTGACGTTAGGAGATGACGTAACAGCGCACGGGAACTCGGAGGGACATTCCTAGCTGATTTGCTTCGCCATTCACTTCAGTACATAGAACCTTCTTATTTTCAAAAGTAATTGCAAAGCTAACTTTGCAAAGGTATTTAATTGAATAAGTTCGTGTCAGTTCACCAAAAGTGTTCTGGTTTATAATTGGCTAATGTGTTATTTTGCTATATTATGTATAAATTCTTGTCACCCTTCAACTACAACGTTATATAATGACATTGCAATATATGTTAGTGAAATTATTTGTTGCAGGATTTGACGATCGTTTGTCAAACCTTTGGCTACATTTGTGTTGTGTGAATAGTTAATACATTTGTTTTAAAATATATTTAGTGTAGAGTGTAGTTATGGCCTAATATACCTATGATATTTTAGTAACTGTTAGCATGTGTATAGTTTTGGAATTATAACTGTTTCAGTTAGCTTTTATCCCCAACTTTCTTCAGTGCATCGATCCTTAGGTTTTTATAGCTGCTTTCCTGTTTCCCTTGTAAACACAAATGTGAGGAGTTCATAAACAACACCTAACACATTTTGGCCTTTATTAAAACAAAACAACATTAATAATGTGTACTTTAAATAACCAAACAAAGAACAGCCAAATGTGTCATCTAATGAATGTATTTGACCACAGAAAATAATTTATACTTTCTCAATGTTGCAAACATTTGATTTGACAATTTTTGAACATTTTATTTGTTACAGGTTAATTTGAACAACAAAGATTATACACACACACATATTGATATATATATATATACATATATACAGACACATATAAAACTATTATATAAAATTATTGTTCAATGATTATTTGATAGGAACAATATTTTTGAACAATATCTAAGCATGAATACAATTTTTAAGCAAAAGGGTTCCGAGCACAGAAAAGTAAAGTATAATAAATCAGCTTCTTGTCATTAGTTAGGTCACAGATTCAATGTCCTCACAGACCACCACTGTCTCCAACTCTGTCTTTAATGTCCACACAGACCACCACTGTCTCCTACTCTGTCTTTAATGTCCTCACAGACCACCACTGTCTCCTACTCTGTCTTTATTGGTGACGACTGCCTTTGCATGTGGAAAGCAACATTGGAAACTAATGTAAAGTGAGCAATAAAATGAAAACCAACACCAGAATTAGAAGGATGGAGCAGTAGAAGAAGAATGAGCGTACCAGTTGTGTCAACAAATAGATATGATTTTGTTTTTTTTTTCCTTTCTTTTTTTTTTTTCTTTTTTTTTTTTTCTCTCCAATCTCAACCGCCTTCTGATCTTTCGCCATGACCATCTGAATGGGACACACCCGCATCTTGTCCTCTCACGGGTGCATTTTACAGTGCTGAGTGTCAGATTTTCAAACTTAGGTTGCAGTGACTCAATCATTTTGTCTTCATTGTCAGATGTCGTCTCTGTGGTTTTCTTCCTTCCTCTGTGTCCTAGGGCTGCTGGGCCTTGTTTTTGGTTGGCTTCTTCTGTGGATAGAGACTTCCTCAGCATCTCTTCTTCACCGACTCTTTGCCTCCCTGCAGATCTGTATTCTTGGTCTCTGGTTTGTCTTTGTCTCCCCTCACTGCTGTCTCTGTTCAGTGGTACAGAGTGTCTCTGAAACCGTCCATGGTTCTGATCTCCACGATTTGAGCTGGAATTTAATTTAGGCCCCTCCTCCTGTCCTCCCTCTCCCTGATGTGATCTTTGACTGTCTCCATCTCGACCCTCCTTCCTGTCATGCTCAGACCGCCTTGGTTCTGTCTTGGCGGGTGTTCTGTGGTTCTGTCCCTGGTGATAGTGGGAATCAGGACTGGTCCTATATTTAAAGCCATTATCTTTTTCTACATGTTTTCCCTTCTCGTCAGAATCCCTCCTTGGTTTTTTGGTATAACGATCTTCAGGTTGACGACTAGAGTCCGTCTTTTCTTCATGATCCCTCTCTCTTTTGTGAAAAGGCTCCTTGTTGGCACCATTGTCTTCTGGTGCACGTTTAAAGCTCTTTTTAACTGCAGCAGAGATAGAAACAGACACAAAATCTGTAGACATGTTGGATTTAACTCTATTTACAGTCACTGGCCAATTCATTAGGTACATCTTTTTCCATGGAACCTCCCACCTTTGTAACAAGTAGAAGTCGCATGAGGTGATATATTGTTACTTGTCTATATAACCTATTACACAGAACAGAAAATCCTTAAAAAAAATCAAAACAGCATTTTGCTTCCGCATGATTGGCTAATTAGATTCGGTATTCAGTTGGACAGGTGTACCTAATGAAGTAGCCATTCAGAATCTACCAGTAATAACAATGAAAATATGAAGCTCTTACTCGTCTTCTTCCTGTAAAACAGTAGGTAGGCAGAGGAGGACCTGCAGGTAGAGATTTTTATAATGAACAAAACATTGTGGGAATGGACACAGTGGCAGAAGAAAGCAAACCTACCTGTCAGTGGGATCAACTTGGAACGGCTGGAAATCCGGCTGTGAAAAAACAATGAAGAGTATGAAAGCTTGTCAGAGTAAACTTACAGAGGACCATGTAGTCAGTAGGAGGCGCTGTGACTCTCACCAATGTGACGCTGCTGTCATTGAAGTTGTACCATTTGTCATCATCCTGAGATTTAATCAGCGCCGTGTAGTGTCCGTTCTTGAGATTACCAACATGTTCCACTATTGCGTACAACTCGTACATCTGATTCTGTTCAACAACACATTAAGCTTAAAAAACAGAAGGAGAATCTAGAAAAGACAGCGTAGCCAAGCTGACGCGAAACATAGCCAAAACAGCGACTAACTAACTACAGAAACCTTCCGGAGGGTGACATCTAAAGTCAGTCGGATTTTTTCGTACCGTTTTTAGTGTGGTTCACGTTGACATTCCGATGAAAGGTTAACTGCCATATTAAACATATACCTGTGGGAGGCGCAGTTGCAGTGGAATGTCCACATCACGTTCAGTTTTTACGTGCGTCATGTGATTTATGTCGAATTCGAACCTCTTGAGCAGGAGAGTCAGGACGAGTGGATGATACTTGATGACACAGTCCTGATCAGAACAAACAGGTTTAAATCCCTGAGACTTTTTTTTTCAATCACTAAATTCACTTCAGTCGTCACTCACAATTGAAACATCACGTTTGGAGTCACAGACTTCACAGTAGATCTGGTTTTCTTCACTGAGACGTGTGGTTTGGAAATACTTCTCAACACCGTCCACCTGAGAAAAGACACTCACGTCTAGAGTCAACACATTTTCACACTGAACATTCAAAAATTCAGTTCATTTATGATTTTTTTTTTATCTTAGAAAAAGTTGTTGACGGTTTGTTTCGGATTGTCATCTCCAATGTTTTATACTAAAAATATAACATTTATATATTTGCTGACTGTAAAAGACAATCGTCCATTTTGTCTGCAATCTTGTGTTGTACGGTAGTGGGCAGTAAATCCCATAATGTCAGACTCTTACCACACTGTAGTGTTTGCTGTTGGAATCCATAAGGTCTAAAGGAAGATGCCAGAAGTGTCCGTCTGTGGCCGTCACCGTGTCACATGTGGAACACCTGGTCCTGTGAGTCAGCTCTCCGTGGAAAACCTGGAAACAAACACGAGACAGGAGACACAGGGACAAGGCTTTTGTACAAATCTAACCGTTAAGGTATCTATCGTTACCAGCACAACTGTGTCAACAGAATAGATAAAAATATACTTAATAATTCAATAATTTAGCTTATTGCTAACTTCTCTCTACAATATAGCAATAAAAAAAAAACTAACCCAAAAGTAAAAATTAACCTGAAAGAATTGTTGAATTTTTTTTTAAAGACCAGCCAGAATAAGAATGTGTGTTAGTGAGGACAGAAATAGCTTGATGTTGCTAATGGAGCTAAAATATAAAGTATAAGAAAGAAAGAAAGAAAGAAAGAATATAAATTCTTTAAGAATGACCTTCGATGCTTCAGAACTGGTGTGAGTTAAAATCTTCTCAAAGAACTCGGCAGCATCACGTTGTTCAGACACTAAAGGCCAAAGACAACAGGAGTGACCTCAGTAACTGATGGTAAAACAATAAAGTACACCACTAGTACTCTGCTAAACGATGTTTGCTGAATAGACAACTCAAATATAAATCGATCAAAAACTGCAAACGTTTTCAAATATATATAAACATAAACTGATCTAAACAGCTGAAGTCAATAAAACCCCAAAAACCTGCTACATTAGCTCAGAAACAGTTACAAAAGACCATAAGCTTATAAAAAGAAACGGTTACATCGCAAAATGTGTAGCAAAACGAAAGATATCGCAAAATTGACACAAATCTGACATAATACACATTTTAATTTAATTTATTGTGAGGTATTTTATATTAAAATTATTTTTGAAAATGTCCATTTCCGCGATTATCCCACCAGTTGTCCAGTAGGTGACAGTGTGGCGTTGTACCTGTGTTGACACCCAGTTCCTTCCTCAGTTGATCGGAGACGTGTGAGGTTCGGTTCTCTAACTTATCAAACAGGGATGTGAGTTGGCCGTCGATGCAGTCGCTTTTACGACTGGACCTGGAACTAAACGTCAAGCACACAATCAAAACAATGACACCAAGGTGACGTTTTCTTCCCCCCATATATGTATAGATAGTGTGACATTGTGTGAGCCACCTGTGGACAGACTGTCTGAAGTCTCTGGTCATGAACAACACCTGCAGGACACTGTTCAGGTAACACAGCGCCCCCTGGTTTTTCAAACCATGGTACCGTACCGAAGGTCCTGTCCAGACAGGATTGTTGTTGTGAACAATGACAGAGTTATTTATATTTGTCAGATTTAGAGCAGCTGAGTCTTACCTGCTGGTCTCTTCAAACGTTTCATGTCCATGTTGACTCTGAACTGGGCTCAACCGCTCTCTCTCTCTCTCTCTCTCTCTCTCTCTGTCTCTCTGAGAGTGAATACTTTCTCTTTCAATTCCTCCATTTACTCTGGGTCACATGACTGACAAGAAACCTCAGCTCAGCGGCTGATTGGTGCAGCACCTGTTTCTGACAGTATATCCAACAAACATCATACTGATAGTTAAAAAGAAAATCTGACAAACAGGTTGGTCAGAAGCACCAACACACACACACACACACATATATGTACAGATATATAGATAGGTGTCAAATGGATATATTTAATTGATGTCAGATTTTGCACAATTATTAACAATCATCGACAGAAATACCACCATGTGTCAGATGGTCCAGAGAAACTTCAGCAGGTGTGATGACATGAGGACCTGCAGTGGTGGCTTAGTGGTTAAGGAAGTGGACCTGGGTCTGGAAGGCCTCAGGTTTGAGTCCACCAGCTGCTGAGTAACCACTGAGGTGCTCTGAGCACGGCACTGACAAGTAGTTCACTTTCCTTCCTTTTCCTTTCCTAAAGAGGAAGTACCAGTGATGCAGCTCAACACTCCTGATCCTGTGTTTTCTGATCTAGGACCTGGAGTTTTCTCAAGGATTTTTCAGAAAGAAAAACATAAGAAACCTCATTCTGTACCAATCAACTTCATCGGTGCTCACAAAATAAATAAAGAAATATTAGAAATCTCTCTTTTAAAAACAACATTCTTTATTCCCACTGTACTGAAGTCAAAAAGGACACACAAACAGAATCGTTCACCATGACCTCTCTGTTATGTTACTGCGCACATATTTGGTCATGTGACATTTGTCACTGTTTGTCCAACTGTTCTTTGTTCAACATTTTTTTAGACTTGATTAGAGTTTTGGCTACTATTGTAGTGGTAGTTTGACCACCGATTGATTCTTCCTCAATTATCTTCACCAACAGCCTTGGACCTGAACTTTCTTCTGCCTTTTCACCGATTGATTCTTCCTCAATTATCTCCACCAACAGCTTTGGACCTGAACTTTCTTCTGCCTTTTCAGGTTGGGTTTCACATTCTTCTGATCCATTTCCAAGAGAGGAGCAGGCACCAGAAGAAGTGTTTCCTTCTGGTCTACCTTCCTGGTCTTCCATGGAGATGTTCTTCATGTTCTTTAGTTCCTCATCATCATCATCTGTGACCTTCTCTTGGCTGCTGGCACACTCTTTGTGCAGTGTGAACTCCGTGGGTTCATCTCTCATCTTCTTGTCTTTTGTGCTTAGACCTTCATGTTTTGAAGCTGTGTCAGAGATTTCTGGTTTAACATCATTATTTTCACCCCAATCACTTTGTATGACATCATCTTTCCTTGTATCATCAACATCTTCACCGTCCTGGACCTGATCGTCTTCTCTTTCCTGAGACAGATCTTGTCTAGATAACAGATCTTTCTGTTCAACCAGGTGATCTTTGTCTGTCTGTTCTACCTTTTTATCCTCCTTCACTATGGTTTCTGGTTTCACGTCATGATTTCCAAAACGATCATCAGCATCTCTTGTGTCGTCAACATCCTGATCCTCCAGATCCTGTTCTTTGAGTTGCTCTTCAGGCGGCTCTTCTCCAGAAAAGCATCTGACCTGTTCTGACGGATCCTCAGCTTGACGCTCTCCTACTTTCTCATGATCCTCCAACATGTTCTTCTGCCTGTGTTCAATGGATGGCAGGTGATCTCCAGAGCTGGGGCTGACATCGTCCATCACCACTGTGTCTTCATTAGGTCCACTGTCTTCAACACCTTCTGTCTTCTGTTGATCTCCATTCTTCTCCGGAATGTCTTTCTCCTCAGGTGATAAATCGCTGCTGGTTGTTCCTGAGGAACAAGTTCCTGTGTCTAAAAGATAAAAGATAAGATTGTAGTTAAATTAGAGAGAAAACAATCGAATGATCATTTCATGTTTTTGTCCGCACTCAACATGAACTAGAAGTAAAATTAAAGTGAATTATTTTACCTTTGGTTTTTCTGTAGAACAGAAGATAAACAGTGTTGGACCTGGAAAAAGAATGAATGCAATAAAAACAAACACCTGGAAACAACTCAATCAAAGACAAAGTCAATCCAGACCATCCACCTGCTTTAAAATGGTGGTTCCCAAACTGGGAGTGGCCTCTTGTGAGGGATCACAGAGCGGTTGTTGGTTACAGACCAAGCAAATTATTTTCAAAGTTCAACATATTTACAAAACTGAAAATATGTTCACTGTCATTTTATCTGTCCTACAATGGGGAGGGGGGAAAAGAAGCCCCAAAACCTAAGGCTCCACACAAAAAGACATGACCGAATCTAGGCCCCAGAACCAGGACTGTGTGGACTGGGTCTGAACTTCTCTCACCTCTCACTGTTGCTCCCCTCAAAAGGCTGTTCGTCCAGCTGATTGTGAGAAGAAAACATTTGAAAATGAGTGAGTGAATGCACCAACTTGGTCAACTTTTTTATCAGATGTGCGTGCGTGCGTGTGTGTGTGTGTGTGTGTGTGTGTGTGTGTGCACATAGGGACTCACTGTTGTGACTGTGGCATCATTGAACTTGTACCACCTGCCATCGTCTGGGGATCTAATGGTTGCAGTGTAATGTCCACTTCTGAGGTCGCCAACGTGGTCAACGAATGCGTACAACTCGTAACTCGTTAGAGTCTGTGAACAAAGAAGCACGACGTCAGGAAGGTTGGTGTTTATTTCAAAACTTCTGTCTGCAGGATTCTTGCCTTAATCCTAAAATTGAGGACAATGGGTGAGTCATATTTAAACGTTGAACTCTCATCCCAAAAATCCAAAGGTTGGAGTCTGGATTTGAATCTCAGAAATTCAGATTAACGTTCTGACATTCAAACATTCATTTACTTTAATCATTGGAGAAAAATTTAGTAGAAAATGTTCAAAATCAGATAAAACAAAAGTCTTCCATTTGGATCTAACACCAGAGTCAAAGCAGCTGAGACGAGCTAATCCAAATATTGTCAAAATGTCAACGTTATTCTTAGAAATTCAACGTGTTATTGAATGTGGTCAAATGTACTACAGTGCTACAGCACCTGTGGGATCTGCAGA